TCTGGAGATTTTTTAACTTTTGTTTTGCTAGTGAGAAGCTAGAAGTCCAATGGCTAATAAAATACAACTTTGCTCTTAACATTATATGCAATATAGTACAACTCTAAAAAATATTTTCTCATTAAATTGAATGGCAGATGCTCAAGATAGTAATACTGAGAATTTAAGGTAATACCTGAATGGTTTCAGTATGCTAATATAAGGCACATGTAACTCCTTGACCTACAAGTAACAAACTCTTCTGGAAAACCCTGTGCTTTTAAGAATACTAGACATTTTTAGTCAATTGTGGCTCAATTTCAAATAAATAAATGTAATTTAAAAAAATCAATAACTAAAACCTAAATGTATAGCTGTTCCACCTTTAACCAAGACTGTATTTGAAAGTATTAGAAATTTTGCTGATTTAAATTAACATCTAAAATATTTCTGTGGAGTTACAGGAAAGTCATTAAAGTGCTTTTAAAAAGTGCTTGGAGCCATGTGAAAACTACAGAGGACAAAGACACACATGCAGAATTGTTAGCTATTTAAAACAGTACAATTATTAACATAAAACACATCTTAAAAGAAAGTTGTTTAATTTCCTAAGTCATCCTGTAAAGAATCAGAACAAGTGGACAAACAAGCAGTAGCACCAGAGCACAAATTTTTTACTAATCTCTGGCAAGTAGCTGGTTTTGTCAAACCAATTCTGATTGTCAAATGTTTTCTTGAAATCATTAAAGTTTTTCTGGCTTAATTCTGGGATATTTCATCAAACAACAGATGTTTCTGCTAGAATAATTTTTTGTGTGTGATTTAATAGGAATTTCAGTGGGAGGCAACAAAGAAAACTGGTTTGATTTCCCAGCACCACTTATGGTTCCCTGACCACTGTAAGGGGTTACTCCTGGACACCCTCAGGTGTGGTTCAAACCCCTTGCTGCCAGTCACTCCCTCACTGCTCCCCAAAACAACCCCATGCTTCAATGTTCAAATTAACTACAAAAAGCCCACATGGGACATAACATGGCACAAAGAGCAGGAGTGCATGCTCTGCATGCTGGACCCCTGGGTTCAATCCCTGGCCCCACATGGCCTGGTCCTGAGCACAGTCAGAAGCAATCCCCAAATACTGAGTCCCTGAGAATGAGCAGGTGTGGCTCTAAAACCAAAATTACAACTTGAACATGACCAGTTATCAAGTTACCTCATTTTCATTACAGACTTTAGATGAAACTCTCACAGTTCGTGTAACTTCATTTTTGGGGAAGGAAGTTCTCTCAAGCAAGTGCTCAGGTTATCAGGAGCATCTCCAGTGATTCTTGGCCTACCAGGTCAGCAGTTTGAGAACCCAAGGATGCAGTACTACTCAGGACCTGTGGTGCTGGGGATTACCCAGGCAATCCTGGTGATGCTTGGGGGCTTTAAAGGGCTTCACCCAGGAAGCTTAGGAGGACCCCGTGGTACTGGGGATAGAACCAGGCTTGGCCACATAGGACATAAGCCCTGAACTATCTGTCCAGCCTCTAGAACTTCGTTTATCTTATCAGTTCAATGTATTCTAAAATCTAAGTTATGCAAGACTATAATTCACATTTTAAAATATATATGAACATAGAATAGAGGTAGTAAATCAATTATCAAGATTAGCTGAGAAAAAAGAAGCTTAAACATACACAGGTGTTTACTTATTCTCTAAGTGGGCATACACCAGGGATATTAGATGGGAAAAGTCCTTTCCTGGACTCCTCACAATTCCCAGAATCAGCACAGGAAGTAAGAAATAGACACTCCAAAGAGATGCAAATTCTTGACAAAGGTACATCTGCTTTTTGTCTGGAATGTTTTTATGAAAATAGCCATCAATATAAACTTAGTGGCTTTCAGTAATCTTCCTAAAATCAAGATGGGATAGTTCAAATTTTACCAAGTTTTTGGTTTGTTTTTGGAGGCCCACCCTGCAATTCCTGGCCAACTAGACTAGAAGTTGTAATGTGAGGTCCTGAGAATTATCCAGGACACCCAGGTGATTCTTACTGACTTCAGGGCTGAACATGGTGCTATTTGGGAGATCATGTGTTCCGGGGAATCAAACTAGCAGTCAGCCACATGCAAGGCATGTGTCTTGACCCCTGTACTCATTCTCTCTACCCCCAACAGCTATCTTTTAAAGCAAATTAACCTGTCCATAAAAAAAAAAACTCTTAAGATCTCCTAATAATTGATTTTATATTTAATTCCTATTTCTTAGGTATTACAGAAGTGCATCTTGCAGTATCAATCAATCATACACACATATTATGCAATTGCCTGTTTATTTAGTGGCACCAGTTTTGCAAACTAGAAGCTATTTCTACTTTTCATCTCACATATAATCTGCAACCATTCACAGCCTGAATGCAATTTTTCAACAACAACAAAAAATACATTCTTAAGGTTAGAACTGAATTCACATATTTTTTTCTTTGGACCAGTAAATGGTACATAATACAAAATATACACATGGAAGTTTACGAAGTTTGGATCACATAAACTGCAATGAGTTACTGCGGAGAATTTTGCTATGTACTATTTATGAAAAATATTTCTGCAGTTATATTTTTCCATCTATAATAGATGTTAATGAGTCTATATATAATGCAACATGCTTCTAATGTGTACACGCTCCACTCAACATTTATACAAATTGAATGAAAGAAATCATTTTAAGAACGAAAACAAGCAGCACTGAGGCATAGAATCACACAATTCTTCAGATTTGACTTAGCTATGGGTTAACCAGGATTTAAAAAAAAATGGTTTCTGTATTTCAAAATTTCTCAGAAATGGTAATAACTGCATTTGAATATTCAATTCTGGTAACAAATGTAACAAGATAATTTTTTATCAGTTGTATCTTAGTAAAAATTCCATCAACCCTGTACATTGGAGACAGTATGTGACATGCCATTTTAACATCTTCTATTAGTATAACAATTTGATGTGAATCAAACATTTAATGGAATCTAACACCAGGATCCTGAGAATCTTAAATTCAGGTCATATTTGTTGCAAAAACCGTACCTATTTCGTTGGATTTCAATAGTGGTTAACTTAAAGAATACCTTTTAAAATTAATTCAAATACTGTATATTTTTACTTTTAATCAATTCTTTTTCCTTAAAATACTTTTTATTAAAGACTTTTAATGTCAGATTCCAGCCCAGTCAACATTTTCTTTTAAAAAGTAAAATAATTTCTTAAAAGACTTAAATTATTATAACTTCTTTGAAATACTTGATGGGCTTTGTATGGTATAGGCTGATACCTTATTACACAATTATAGTATGAGACAAGCCAGGGGGTTCCACAAATCGTTGCAATATTGTAAACTCTGGTGAGTTATGTATAATACGTGTATTTTCCTGGGTATGGAGTTCCTAGGATTTATTGGTCTCAAAGGGTCTGTGATTCTAAAAGGTTAAGAATCATTGCTAAAATGAAGTTATGCCTTTCATCAAACTGTGTACTGTTTTATTTTATGGCTACCCAATCTCTCTACAAATCTTACTTAACAGTAACATACAGATGCCCTAACTAGTCCTTTATTGTATCTAGAGGATTATCTAAAAAGAAAGGAAAAATTCTATAAAATAATTTCCTGAACATTTAGTTCAATGATAAAGCTATTAGGAGGAAACTAGATTTTGGAGTAACAAAGAAAATGAAAGTTTGAATTTTGTGAAGAAACACTGCATTTATTTTTCTTAACTGTTTCTGTTTTGAAGAAAGGCAGTAGTTTTATCATCCCCTTCGCTAGAAAAAGTTCAGATTATCACAAGAAAATGTTAGTTCCTGCTGGCTTACATGATACATCGACACTTAACCATATACAGCAGGGTCTTTAAAAATCTTTACAATGTTCTAAATAATTAAGAACAATCAGCAGTCCTCCATACTGGCCCCCCTTCCACCACTTCAAATCTAAGTTGTTGCCCAGTTTTACACAGTACTAAGTTGGCTTTGGTGAGGTTATGCAGTAAGCGTTCTTACTCGAGAAAATGGAATTGGCCTGTGTGTGTGTGTGTGTGTGTGTGTGTGTGTGTGTGTGTGTGAGAGAGAGAGAGAGAGAGAGAGAGAGAGAGAGAGAGAGAGAGAGAGAGAGGTAGAGGGGGGGAGGGGGAGGAGGGAGGGAGAGCACCAAGAAGACAGTATGGAGAATGAAACATTTTGTGCAGAATAAAAGAAAAAAATATTATTTGAGGGTTTGGAGAGAGATCAGTACATGCCTCACATATAAAAAGCCCAGGTTCAACCCCTGGCACTGCTGGTTTAAGACCTCTGACCACAGAACTGGGAGATCGAAAACTAGAAAATAAAAGTCACTTTGTTACCTTTGCCATTACCAATTTAGACAAAGCCCCTCTCCCCATCTAATAAAAGTGTAAATTACACCTAGTTTTAAAAATTGGTAATTCCTACCTGCTGGTAATAAAATATGATAGCAGAAGCCAGTTGCTTAATAAAAATGCAGGTAAGAGAGAATTTGTATGTGGGTGGATGAAAGTAGAAATGTTCATTTGACAGTTAAACATAACCAAATTCTTTTCAACATTTCCATATAGTACTCTGTCAGTAATAATTAAGATTTAACTGAGATAATTCTGCCAATACAATACAGTATTGTATAATATTTAAAAATTGTATTCTTATAAATATTTCAAGCATATACTTAGGTAATGTATAATTTAAAACAAATTAAAACCCCCAAATACATGGCACATTAATAGAGAATAAGGTTAATTTTATAAAAAGTTGAACAATACCATCTTCCTAATGCCTAAAAGAAAAATGAGTAGGAAGACTCAATCACTCAATTAAAAATGGTCATTCCACAGTATCTGCAAGCAAAAGCAGATGAAAATCTAAGGTTCCTTCAAAGAAAGACCTCAGAAACATTTATATACTGACACATTTACATAATAATGCCAAATCCTAACATAATATAAATATCAATCAAAGCATTAAAGGCATAAGTCTTTCAACTTTTTAATATGCCATGAAATGCCAAACTGGAAAAAGAGAACTAGTACCCAATTTTATCAATTCTTCTAGAAAACGCAAATTGAATTCCCACACAGATTTGTCCAGTAAAGATGGGCAGTGAGCTTACTTTTAAAAAAGTAAAACATAATTATATGGCTAAAACTGGATAGAAACACTGGCAGTATTTTCAAGAAAAGAACTTCTAAATGTCTTATATATACACCTTATTTCATCATATAATCATTGTATCCTGTTTTTAATAACACGCTTTTTAAAATTTTTACAAAAGCTTCACATAATGGTCACACTCCCACCTTTTTGAAAATTATTTTTCATACACACACACACACACACACGCACGCACGCACACACACACAGAGCTAGTTTAAATACCTATATCTAAACTCCACATAATGTATCCAGGGCTGAGAATTTGAAGTTATTCATTACCTATTTCATTGACTGATGCTGTCAGAAGTTAGAGTAAAGGTCATTTGTAATAGGCAATTTGAGCATACTGAATAGACCTAAGTTGCATCAGTTCAATTTTATTCTTACATGGAGCAAAGTTTTATTTGAATAATAGTTTTAACTGGGGAGAATAGAGGAAAACAATTTTCAAAGTGAATAAAGTAATTACATGAGTGCTTTTAGGGCACAGACCTGCTTTGCACAGTAAAGTATCGGGCAAACAGTAAACAGGTGAGCAATAAAAATATTTTTGATAAGTAATTCAGTTATAACGACATAAACTGGATCATAAGTTCAACTTGAAATGTAAACTTGAGAGTAAGAACCTAGCCATTTTAGTTTCAAGGTGCCTTGCCCAGAACACTGTTTTGCAGATATGGAAAAGTAGAGAAATTATCTGGATTAATATATATAGTGAAATCACTAAAAGTACTACTATAAATCAGATTATCTAAATTATATAACTTATTCTTTAATCTTAATATTATAAAGTTAGTAAAAAAAATTAAGTGGCTGGAGCAGTACAGTAATTGCATAGTACTCTATAAGCAAGTTAATGCATTATCATTAAAAATGTTTGAAATAGTTCTAAAGATAAATAAGATTACCACTTTGATTTTTTAAGTTAATGCTAATGTTGAAAACTGCTTCAGTTATCTTAAAAGCATATGCCTAAGAAAGTAGAAACTAAAGAGATCTCTGACCTTGCTAAAATAAGATTGGTGAAAAATTTTAATATTAGGGTAACAAGAATCTGCTATACAAACTGAATTTCCTATTAAAAGCAGCAAATTAGCTTCTCCCTATTAAAACATTGAAATGAATGTATATTTTGAATAGTATAGTATCATCATACAAGAACTCTTCCCTCCAAATAACAAACATCAAAAAATGTTGAGGCATTGCCCTGAGATGCTAAGTAGCACACAAAAGGGGGTGAGGTCAACAATTTAAGTGGTATAAAATGAAGTGCACAATAGAAGTGCAAAAGTGCCTTTTAACAGTGTGACTGGTTCCCCACCACCACCATTACCCCTAGGATCAAGAACACAGAGTTTTATTGGTTATAAAGACTTGCCTTGCTGTATTATTATTTTTTTTTTTACAATGAAAAGTTGTACCTACTATGGCAATGCTGACTCATGTGGAAAAAGTTTAGTCTTTTTAAATCATACTGTTAACAGTTTTCTTTAATTTCCAAGCCTAAATTCAGTATGAATGAATAACAGGAATATTTTAATCTCTTTAAAAAAGTTTTAAAAAAAGGCTTCAAATATGCTGTTATAGTTTGAAATATAGCTTTCCATTACATATTACATTTTTCACTTGTGATTTAAGTTTTGTAATTCAAGATTTTCAAAATCTAATTCGAGGTTTTGAAACTTCCAGGCTAAAAATTTCAGTCAACTTAAAAATTAAGGACCTGCTTATTATAGTAGGGATTTAGTTTTCAGTACTATTACCTCTGTAATAAATCTACTAAAAAAGCACTGGTATTCACTAAATACATGTTCAGATGCTTGTCTATAACTTAGAACATTATCATACTTTGCACTCTACCACAGTTTAGACATTAAGCATTTATTTGCAAATACGGAATTAGCTCTGTAATTCCAACTGTTATGGATTTCTAAATATAAATAGTACTCGTTTTTTCTTCATTCATGCTGGATTAAGATATAAATTAAATACAATTATGTTACATTTAGTCACCTCACAAATAAAGGGGATAATGGAAAATTTTGCTGGTAACTACTTAAATCTGAGACATTTCACATTACTTTTTTCTACTACTTCCCTAACTTTACATGAGATTTAAGGCTATATATACAAATATGTGTATTTCTAAGTTAGGGAAGAAACAAATATAACAAAATTGATTACATTACCTTTTATACACAAAACTTTGATTCTGTATTCAATGTTGTATTTAATCTTACACTTAATTTTCTAGAGGGCAATCTGTCTAGTGAATAATTAAATTACATGATGGTAAATACAATATTTAACCTAAAAAAGACAAAAAAATACAGATGGGCACAGAACAGTAGTCTTTTCAATGTGACAGACTTAAAAAGCTTACTTTCACATGCTTATTCAGAGGAATTTATGCCTAAATTAAATTAGGTTCTTTTATATCTACAATTCCTTAAGCTTTGAAAGTTATTTTAAAGGCCAACAGCTAAATATTATCAACATGCCGTTTCAAATCACAAATACATCTTAATTACTTGAATTCTAAAGACATGAGCCAATTAAAAAATCATAGGAAAACACACACTCAAAACACACACATACACCCTTACCATTGTTTTAGATTGTCACAACTTTGACAACTATTTTAAGTAAACAGTAGGCAAATTCAAGCTGATACACATCTTAATGAAAAAACAGCAAGTAACCAATTTAAAAAATATATATTAAGAACAACAGAGACTTGAATCTTTCAGTGTAATGAATGGAAGGAAACAGTTTTTCATCTATGCCTTGAATAACAGTACTTTCCAATTAAAAGAGACTAACATCTTTCCCCATGAGAAACTTCTCATTTACAATGGCATGGTGTCTGAAAGGGAGGAGGGTAAAAGGAGGAATTACACATACATGATTAAATATCTTGTTTGTTAAATCAAGCTTTATTGATAAAATGGAATTCAGAATATCTTACTAGGAACAGCAGCAGGCCCAGCCAATCATGATAGCAAAAATGTGGCAGTCTCCTACTAGACTGTAGGAAGCTGCTGCTTATCAATTAGTAATTAAATGTAAGAACTCGTAAAGGAGGTGTAGGGTATCAAGGCATTCTAGCCCCAAGATTGATATTCTTATGAATATACTGTATTACCTGCAATACTCACGGCAAACAAGGAGAGAACAACCTAAAAGACAGTTAAATGAAGGGATCAGCTTTATTAACAATGCCAATCCCACTGCCATGAACATTAAATAGTTTTTAGTAACTCTGGATATTCAGCTTTGTAAATATTTGGAATTATTCTCCATCATCACCAATACATTTGAGTGTCTTGCTGACATACATGGCTGCTGCTCTCCCTGTCCCACCCAAGTCCGAACACATGACTTGAAGGGCTATTTATCTGTTGCATCACACGACAAGCCAAATAGTTCTTGTAACTTTGACAGTGATTTAAAGCAGTTCATAATTAAATATGAGCATTTTGTACAAGGACAATTACACTTTACAAAAAAAACAAAATCATACAACAAAAATTGCTGGAGTCTGATTTACAACATGAATTATGGTTTGAAATCACGTTTACATAAGTCTCAAATTTACAAAAAAAAAAAAATCAGTTCTGGGAAGCTGAAGTTCTCTGGTGTGATCACTCTCACCGGTCACATGCCCTTCTTTAAAGTTGAGAATGGATATTTAAAAGGTTCAATGAAGCTGAGCTGTACACTCCTTTGGAGGTGAAGGCAAACTCCATGGCTAGATGAGCAGTTTTACCACATGTCATCGGCTGATGCAGAGTCCTTTATAAAAATAAACAAAATAAAACAAGGAACTAAGTTAAAGCTCAGAGGTGTCAAAATACATAACTTTTTGGATAATGTAGAATTATATTTTTTTTTAGAGTTGACTTTTGGAATGTTTTATAAAATATGCAATGTGTGTGTTCATGTATATAAAGTATCAATAATCTATTCAAAGAATTTTTAATCATGCTTTGTTTCAGAATAAAATATAGAAATACAAAATCATGAGGTAACAAAATATACTTCTAAATCAATAAAACTACAGGAAAGAATTTTCTTCAAGAAACCTCAAATTTCACAAAAAAACTTTTATGATCTAAGACAAGATCAAGACCTCAATATAAAATTTGAGGAAGATTTATAATACAATATGAAAAATGTATATGAAAGAGCTATGCCCAAATGATTTTAAGTTATCCAGCTACAATAGGAAACTTAAGTATATAACACTATTCAAATAACTTTTTATATAAATAGAATTCTCTCATTTAAATGAAGTATTCACTTCGGGGATCTTGGGAAAAATGTTTCCAACCATAAAAACTATTTAGTGGAAATAGGCATACTGAAATTGTTGCAGCTGCTTACAAAATTCAGTTATTCTTCCTAACTTCAAAAAGCAAACCTTCTGAAGTTGATTGCTTGTAGAGGCTTTAAAAATCAGAATTAATTCAAAGAACTTTCTTCTTTTTGAGAGGTGGCCACTCACGATGATTATGTCCTCAATCACTAGAACTGTGGTGCAGAGTTCAGAGCAATCAACCAAGGGTTTGTGTAAAAGAGTGGGTGCAGTAAACAGCTCTGCAAAAACAGGTAGGAAGGATACGCATTTAGAGTGGAGGGGATGGGAAATCAAGAGGAACTAAAATACTACTTACAGTGTCATCATTTTTATAAGGATTCAGTCTATTATAAACGGCTTCAATTACATTCCGCCTAAATTTAACAGAAAATACAGAAAGTTAATTCTTCAGAGCACAAAACTTATAATTCATAGTCAAGTATTCATTAAGCACCAAAGATTTTCTTACACTTTTAAAAGTTCTTTTTCTGTCAATAAGCAAATTGAACGATGAGATTTTGGACCCCAATGTGAAAGTAGAAGTGAATTTACACTAAAATGTAATACTCCACTAACCCAATTAGTAGAAGATGTAAAGTTATTTATTTTGTTTTTGTTTTCCTGGGAGTCACATACAGAAGTGCATGGAGGTGCCAGGATTTCAAACCAGATTCACAACCCAGCTGCATGCAAGGGAAGCACCTTTTATTTCCTGTACTCTCTGGTCTACATGGACCTTTTCTGGCCTACATGGACTTTCTTGGGCTACACCTGGTGGTGCTTAGGGCTTCCTCCTGGCTCTGTGCTCAGGGATCACTTCTGGTGAGGCTCTGGGGACCAAACTAAGTCCTAGAGATTGATTATACCTGGGTTGGCCATATGCAATGCAAGCACCTTATCCAAAGTACTCTCTGGGCTGGTTTTTGATTTTTCCTGTCTATTATGTGCTTTTACTTGAAGTGATGTACATGGGTTATGAATCAGCAACAATTGTTCATGTATTTATTTTTTGGTGGTGGACGGTTTGGGTTATAGCTGCCAGTACTTAGGGGCTACTACCTGCTTTGTGCTCTGGGGATTATGCAATGCTGAAAAGTAAACTGAGGTCAGCAGCATGCAAGACAAATGCCTTAAACCCCTGTGGTATCTTTTTGGCTCAATGGCGCACTTCTTAAGACAAAATACTAACACTTTCTAGTTAAGAATTCACGATTAATTTTAAGGCTAAGTAAATTCAATATATTATGGTAAAACAATTTATGATATTCATCATTTAAATTTTTACTTTTCATAATGTTTCTTTTAAAAAGCTCTATTAAAAGTGACATGTAAAGTATGATATTTACAAGTTAGGAATTATTTTTTGCATGATATTTAAACAAATCCACAGCAAAAATTTTATTTATTTTTAAATGTGAGCCACTCCTGGAGGTGCTCAGGGATTCATGCATGGTGTGGGGCATTCAAACCAACCTGGGCTGAATACAAATGCCTTTTAATTCCTATATTCTATTTCTGGGCCCCACAGTGAAATTTTAAGTGAGTCTTACTGCTTCCAAAATTAATTTGAAGTGACATCATTTCATAGAAGGTCATACTAGAAAAGCTTTTTTTAACCATCCTTAGCCATTCATAATAAAAAAATATGATTACATTTTTAGAACACAGTAAAGAATCAACAACATCAGACAATATCTTTGTAGATCAATTATAGTTATCTGAGACAAAAAATGTTTTAAGCCTTGTACATAAAATGGTTTAAAGCATCCACTTTAGTTTAAAAATTTTGATAATTTAAAAAACAATTCTATGAATTAAACAGTAAAGGGGCAAAAGTAAATGAATATTCCTATCTTCTCTCACATTCCAAACTAACAAAGCAGGGGTTACCAAACAAGAAAACTGGGAAATCAGAGAGGTAGAAAATTTCCAGATGGAGAAAGAGGAAGATGTTTGTCTCTGAGTGTAGGTTATCCAAGAATTGATCAGATTAAATAGTAACGATGAAAACAAGTATGACATAGAATTTTGTAGCACTAGGTAGATCAGTTAAAAAAAATTTTTTTTCCCACTTGATTTTCTCGTTTATAGTATGAGGAAATCAGTGTTATCCAAGCCTCCTCCTATAAGACAGTCTTTGGTATACAAAAAGACTGTACAATTGTATAATTAATTAAAATCATAATCTGATACCTATTTGAAACAAAATACTGAAAAACACAAACAGGTTAAACATTAGAAATACACAGAATACTGCATCATTTTATAAAGTACACAAACAAACATGTAACTAAAGGACACCTATAAGATAAGAGTATGCAAAGTGTAACTTACTTGCTTGCCAATTCACCCCCTGGTGGGAGGCTGGGGATGTTCTCACTGGCTAATGTGCGCATCACATGGACTAAGTCAGGGACGCCTTCCCCCTGCTTCTTTATGATTTCTGGGAATCAGAAGTACTTTTTTTGTAAGTGCTATCAAAACTTAAATTTAAAAAATACTGAAACAAAGATAGCTTAGATTTTTAAAGATGGCATTTATCACACAGAGATCTTTCTAAGTTTAAGAAAAACTAGTTGACATTTGAAAATTTATAATAAACAAGTGCATAAAATGACATAAAAATGAGATATTTTCCAAATTAATTTCAAAGAATAAAAATCAATGAAACAAAAGTGTGGAAAAACCATTACATTCTATCAATCAAGAATATTTGTGTACAAATGACAGTATTCTCTAAGATGCCAACTAGTTATTTCAGAGAGAGGTCAACTCTTTTCTTAAGACTGGGAACACATTTTCTGAACCTTTCCTAAAAATACACTTCACAAAATTTTGAAAGAGAAATAATTTCAAGATGTGAAAAAAAGAAAAACCTTTGAATATAGGGAAGTAATTGATCACTGACCAACCCAAGTAATTTTTACAGCTATTTTAATATTGTAAAATGATACTTAAGTTAATGTACAGATTAGATAATGTACTTGAACACGATTCTCATCTAAATAGATACATAATGCCATTTTCTTAATGGATTACTAGAACAAGGCCTAAGGGATAGAAAAAGGTGTAAGTTTCATGATAAACCATACAACTACATTTAAAATCATTAATTTCAAAATATCCAGTTATTAAGTGGGCATAATATGATCTGCAGATTTGCTATGCAGATGTATACTGCTATGTCACAGCATAAATACCAACAAATATAAACAACTTAAAGAACATTCAACTACTCATTTTAAGTACTAGAAGTTTTTACTTGAAGTTTAGAATATTTATTCTAAAAAGCAAGATCATGCCAAAGGTATTTAAATATTCCAGTTTTAGTTTAAATATTAGTAAAAAATTTTATCATCATTGGGACAAGAAAACTTTTATCATTTTAGTTCTCACTTTGTAAATACCTTTAAAAATAACAATGCATACAAAGAACTTTTTTCTTTAAAAGTATAAAAATATTAATTCATCATTAAAGCCACATACTAAAAAATAGAGATTGCTACCCATATTTCTGTAAATGGCTTAAACTGATCTTTCAGAATTAGTTAAATTTTACCATCTTTTCTTTGCCCTTTGGAAACAAAAACAAAAACAAAACCAGTTTTAAATCTGAACAAAAAGCAAGGATCTCAGATTTAGTTTGCCAAGTTCCTTTATTGTTTAATTTTTAACATCTAGTATATTTATTCTACATGATTCTAAAGCTGGAAATCTGCTGTACAAAAATAAAGGGATTCGATGTTTACCTAAACTGCACAATTTCACAATCTAAACTTGTAATACACTTAACATACAGTCTCTGCTAAGCCAATACAATAACTAGATAAGTAACTAGATACAATAGAAATAAACACTGATGATAAATTCATTCAATGATAGTTTCAGGTCTAAAAAACATTACTTTGAATCCTCTATATTTGATGTTTTTTTTACATCTCTTTTGTTAAAATATAAATTAGGATATTTTAACTGTGAAAATTACAGGAAGACAAATTCTTTAAGAAAAATAATATAAAGCTTTATAAACAACATCTCCTGTTCCACATGGGAAGATGATCATAAACACTATACTAGTCTTGCTTAATTTTATTTATTTGTAGAGAGGCTACCCACTGCAGTGCTGGGCAGTGCTGGGCAGTGGAGCAGTGCTGAAGAGAGACAAGTACACTCTGGTTAATACTGCCTTTGGTAGGCTTCTGGGCAGGGCTACAATATGCTCGAGATGAGCCTCAGGCCTTGCACGCACCAGGCATGTGTCCCATCCCTTTGAGCCATATGTGCCTAACCCTTTATCATTACTATCTTTTGGAGATGCTGGAGGCAGTTTGGGCCATACTTGGCTGTGCTCAGGGAACTAGATGAGGTGCCAAGGATTGAATCAGGGTCAGCATGTGCAACGCAAGTGCCTTACCCTCTGTACTATCTCTCTAGCCATAAAGAAATACATCTATAGGATGCAGTCTTTTAATTTGTTAGACATTCGTTACACACATTCTGCTCTTCTTCACTCCTCTGCATAAAATATAAAAGATTCTACTTCCAAAGTAGCAAAGTTAGTTTGGGCAGCAACTAGCAAATATTTTAATACATAACCAAAAGTGTAATATTAAATTGGCTTAGAAGGACCACAACTTTAAGTGATATGGTTTAAAGTATAAGCTTTTCACAATCCTAGAGAGTCAAATATTAGAAGGGCACAGAACAAAAGAGCAGAGCTACACAGCCAGGCTTTTTGTACTGAGTGAAATCAAATAGCATTTAAAGCAAATAAAATGTGGTTTAGTAGATCACATCAATTTAGTGTAGGCATGTATTTACACAAGAAAAAGAAGAAAAAGGTATTTGGTACTTGTTTAAGAAGCTGAATGTAGTATTTTTACTGTTTAAGACATGTAACAATTTCACAATACAGATAGTTACATTCTTTCTATTTTTAAATATAGCAGCAATTTTTAATTAATGTAATATCTATTGTGATTTCAGTCTCATCAAACCTACCTCAAAAAGTATCAAATTTATGACAAATTTCCAACTGGATAGAACAAGCATTTAACAACAACATATCAAAAATACTGAGTATTGATGTAAACTGTTCAATAGGCAATTCCTGCTTTATAATAGTAAATGTAAAACTCAATATTGTAACATAAGATTATGTATCTTAAAGTCATTATTTAGAATTGCTTTAAAAACTTATTTTAAAGAGTGCACATTAAAGAGGAAAATAGCATTTCTAAAATTTGATTCCACTTCCAAGTAAATAAAATTCATCTACTTACTCTTTATTTCTTTAAATCATTAAAACATTTATGCCCAAGTAACTTTTAAGTACCAATAAATTAAAAATATCAGCCTGTCCCAATATAGAATCTTTTGTTTCCTATTGTTCCATTAGCCAACAGTCTGATCCAATGTGATATAACTTGATAGAATTAAAAATGTTTTATATACTTGTAACTCAGACTGAAACGATTTATTAAAATAGGAAAATTCCAAGTCCTTTGGTAATAGGAAGGAGACACATTGAGTAATATGTTCAAAGATTGAAATAATTAAACAGTACGTATACATCCTATGTAGATATCACTAACCAGTGAGGGAAAGTAATAAAAACAAAATAGCAGCTATAGATAGCACTAAAAATAAAAATAAAAACAAATCATGATTCTAATATTAGACTAATTTAAATAACAAATAGCAGAAAAGAGAAAGTAAAATTAAAGTGCATACTAATTTTATAATGCAAGCACAGCAAATACAATAATGTACAGTGCTTACACGTTATTAGAGGTCTTTAATGTGCATATTAATGACATTAGGAGTCCCAAATACATTTTAACACTAAATAGGCATGTCAAGTTTCTCTGCTTAAAGAAACTGTGTAATCTACATGCTCACTGCATATACTCAGTAAGCTCAAATTTTCTGGAGAGGATGAATATTCAAACCAAATAGTAGCTGTAGCAAAGATCACTTAAATTTTGTGAAGTATCTGAAAGCATTATACAGAAGTTACAAATATCTATTTTTCTTAAAATAATTTGCAAATTAAGACAAATATACTTCTGAATTGCTAACTTCTTGATCTTTTTCAGCTTTAACATTCCTGCCAGGTAGAAACCAAGTATAGCTTCTATTCATGTCTAGGTTGGGTAGGTGAGAAAATTTATGCTAAGGCAAGAGACTTGAGTTTAAAATATATTTTTAAAAGTTGTGGCACATGAAAATTCTTAATAACCAGACAGTGATCTGAAAGATATTTTTCAAAAAAGTGTTTTAAATTTATACACACATATATCTTTCTTTACATAGAAAGATGGTATTCAAATTATCACCATCATAAATAATCTTCTTGTAATTAAACCACAGGTCAAGTTTTCCTGGCATAAAATTACTCAAGCTAATGAAATGAATTCATCAAGGATTTTAAAGCATACAGACACTTTTAGCTTTTTTAAACAAACATATCCTGAACAGAAAGTACAGGACTGCACTAGTTCTAATGTATAAGACAATCACATACATCTAAACAGCTACTACAGAAATACCCTTTTGCACACTTTTGCACACTAAATACTAAATGTCAAAGGCATGTAAAAAACTAAAGCTAGAATGTTAAAGTTTGATTGTGTTGAGGTTTGGCTTTAATAAAGCTACTTATTTTTTGTTAAATGATCCACCTTCTACTCTGCTTTCCAGGTACTTGTCCAACTCTGCCTCCTTCTTCACTGCTTCCGGTGATACTTTAGGAGCATTTGGAAAACAGATCAATATCACACTCATGTTGTCTCGACTTCCCTGGGAAGAAAAAAGTTTGAGAAAATATTTTAGGTTTTATTTTGCTCTGTAAGACTTGAAAACCTATCCTGCACCCCATGAAAATATGCATTGATTTTAAAGGGGAAAAATACAGTGCAAAAATGAAACCATCATTCCAAAGACAGGAAGAGAAACATCACAGTTTAAATAACACTGCTAACAAGCATTTTTCAAAATTTTACAGAACAACTTATTTCTATACATTTACTATTCACCTACTTAACTTGAAGTGATACTTATATATACATCTTCATTTACAAAATAGAAAATGTTAGTGGTATTTCTTAGGACAGGCTTTAAAGCAGTTACATTATTACTTGGCAAATCTGTAAGTATTATAAGTCGATTTGTTCCCTATAAGTATGAAATTAGAAATAAAAAACTATACAGTTCATAAAACAGCTTTTATCTTTATTATAGTGAAATAATTATTAGGCATAACAGATTTTTGTTTGGTTGGTTTTCAGGTCACACCTGGAGATGCTGGGATAGGGGGATGGGGCTATTCCCTGTTGGGTTTGGGCAGATCAGTCTCAGAAGTGGTGTTCAAATCCAGGCCTCCCGCCCTAGTACATCACCTTTGGCTGCATCTGTTGGTGTTTGGAGCTACTTCCAGCGTTGTGCTGGGGTGTGGGAAAGCACTCCTGGAGATTAAACCTGAACTTTTCTGTATGAACTCAACTGACAAAGCTATTTTTCCAGTCATTATGTTGATTTTTTAAAAAGATACCTAGGTATTCAAATTGATGCAATTTAAAATATTTGATTGGCACTGTCTGCCCCATACTCTCCCATTACTTACTGTTTACAACAAAAGCATTTTCTGCCAATGAGAAAAAAACTATTCATTATATCATTTACTTTTTTGGGGAGGAGTGGGAGTGGTGGGGAGAGGCACACCCAGATGTGCTCACAGCTTAATCCTGGCAGGGTGAGGAACCACATGGGAAGCCTGGGATCAAGTCATGGTCAGGTGTGAGCTAGGAAAGATTACTACCTGCTGTACTATCTCTCCAATCCCAATATCATTATTTATTTGGGAGGTGGGGAATTGGTAACACACCAGGCAGCACTCAGAGCTAGTCCTAGTTCTGTGCTCAAGGGGACCCTATGGGTAGTGCTTGAAGTTTCAACTAGAATCAGCACAGAATGCAAGACAAGTGCTTTAACCCTATTATTTAACCCAGAACCATACATCATTCTTTTTAAAATAACCTAAAGAATTTAATGTAACAATCACTGTCACTGTCAATATCCTCCCGTTGTTCATCGATTTTTTCAAGCGGGCCCAGTAACATCTCCATTGTGAGACTTGGTTGTTACTGTGTTTGGCATATTGAATATGCCACTGGGAGCTTGCCAGGCTTTGCCGTGTGGGCAAGATACTCTCGGTAGCTTGCCGGGCTCTCCGAGAGGGGCGGAGAAATCGAACTCGGGTCGACCGGGCCGGCTGCGCACAAGGCAAACGCCCTACTCCTGTGCTAGCGCTACAATATCTGAGGAAAATCTGTAAAATATGGCAAGTAATGTATTGAATAAATGGTAAAAGAGCAGAATACAAAAAAGATAAAGCAAAATTTAAACCGTAATTACTAAAATATAAATCTGACAAGAAAATGGCTTTTAGTTTCAGTAACCATACTTGCCAATTGCTGTAGAATAAATCTAATAAACTGATGTTATTTTCATGCATGCCAAGAGACTATAAGCATATACATCATTGTTCAGCATTCTCCAAATTCAGAAATTTATGGTATGCACTATTAAGCTACAGAGAGTATTCCGCCTGCACAGCAAAGCCTGGCAAGCTACCCGTGACATACTTGATATGCCAAGAAACAGTAACAAGTCTCACAATGGAGACGTTACTGGTGCTCGCTTGAACAAATCAATGAATGGGAAGAGAGTGCTACAGTGCTACTATTAAGTTATTGCTATAGTGACTTTTGGGGTTTGTTTTGGACTATACCTGGCAGTGCTCAGGGTTTATTTCCAGCTCTGAGCTCAGGGATCACTCCCAGCAGAGGCTGGGGGACCAGCTGGTGTGGCAGGGAACCCTAGTTGACCACATGCACGGCAAGCACTCTATCTATCTCTGTACTATCTACTGGCCCTTATATTGACTTTAAAAATGTGCTGGATGTTACATTAAATTATTTGTGTTGGATGTTGCTAGGATGTTGCTAAGCTAGGTTGGATTATTAACCTAGCTTCCAAACATGACCAGAACTTAAGATTTAAGTAAAGGGCAGGAAGATAGTTTAATGGGCTGGAGTACATGCTTTGGATGCGGGAGGCCTGTATTTGATCCCTGGCAACTCAAGGTCTCCTGAGACCTACAAGGAGAGGATCCCAAGCACCACACCATGAGTAGCCCTTGGGCAGGAAAAGATTTTAAGTTAATAAACCAAATATAAAACTATAAAAAACAGCTTAGACTTTCTATTTTTACATGTTAAAAAAAACCAGATAGCTTATTAAAGTATTAGAAAATCAACTTTTGTTTTAAAAAAAGTTAAATGAGCATTACTGACAAAACAGAACAATGTTGTAGAAAGAACGCTAACCAGAGGTCAGAGAGACTGTGCCCACCAGGAAAAAAAAGGGGAAGAACACTAACACTAGGTCAAGAGCTTTAATTTTAGAATTTGTCTTAGTGCTGCTACTGAAGGCTTATCTTTTCACAGGCATTTCCCTCAAGTCTTTTACATCCCCCCTCACCCACACACCCTGCCCATTTTTCCATTTTGGGGCCACACCCAGCAGTGCTCAGGAATTATTCCTGGCTCTGTGCTCAGGGATCACTCCTGGCAGGCTCAGGGAGCTTTGTTGTGGAACCAGAGATAGAGCCCAAGTTGGCCATATGCAAGGTAAATGCACTACCTGTTGTACTGTGGCTCCAACCCAGTCTTTTGCAATTCTAATTCTCTTAACATTATAACCTGTCCCAAATAACTCAGCAGTACAACCATACCAGGAAGCCTCAGTTAACAGCAGATTCAACATGGCCCCAGAGTGAAGGAAAACACACTTGTGGAGTGCTCTTCAATAATCCTCCTGACCTGTTTTCTTCATGTCCCTGCTTGCCCTTATCCCATTTGCTGAGCAACATACCTGACCCCATTTCTTGATGACAATGTTAACCTTATAAAAGTATATTCTTTCAGGGACAGGAGAGATAGTACAGTGGGTAGCACAGCTTGTCTTGCATGCAGCTGACTCAGGTTTGATCCCCCAGCACCCATTAAGGTCTTGTGAGCACTGCCAGGAGTGATTCCTGAGCTCAGAGCCCTGAGCACAGAAGGGTGTGACCCCCACCTCCCACCCAAAAACTGTAACCTTACAATTGCTGGGAGAAGTTGAAGAATTCATTTTTTAAAGTGCAAAAGTGATACAAGTAAATTTGGATTGTAGATCTCACTCAAATTGACTGAACTTTTTTTTTGCTTCATCTTCCTCATTAATTTAAAAAAAAAAAGGGTTGAGCTAGTTCACCTACCTTTATACATGAACCATTTGATCATTCCAACACCACCATGAGAAAGAGTAATAGAATCACTTACTTTTTTTTTTTTGGTAACTATTAAAGAAACTAATTTTCCAGAGTTTAGATGGCTTACCTTAAGTCACTTATGGTATCATACAGAATTCTTCTGATTCCATATCCAGATTCTATTATATTATACCAAATCATTATTCTTTTTTTGGGGGGGGGTCAGGTAGGCATACACACAGTGCTACATATTTATTTGATCAGAGTCTCAAAGTACTTCCATACATTTAGTGATATCATATGGTAAAATACTGAAATAGTATTCATTATGCCGACTTTTCCTTTATTAATCTACTGTATCATTTTACTGATTATCTTTTTACCTTTGATAATCTACAATATTTAGTCTGCAATATTAAAAAATTCATGTAGCCATGACTACTAAAATACTAAACATTCAAATAATTCCTGAATATTTGGTACGTGGGCAGTTCATTTCTTAAAATGTGTTCCTATATTTTCATAAATACTGTAAAAGTGTCTTGTGATTGTGCCAAAAATTTACTTCTAAGAACTACAGGTTCTATAATTAAATACTAGAATAGTCATTAGGATAATAAAATCATCAAAAAAAATAAAAAAATAAGAGGTTTAGCTACCTTATACAAACAAGTGTCGACTACTTCATTGCAAACTTTTTCAAGGTCATCAGTGACTTCAAGTCTGGATCTTACAAAATCACAGAGCTCTTCATTTCCCATAACATCCCAAATACCATCACATGCCAGGATAATGAACTGATCATCTTCTTCAGATCTTTCAATATCATAGACTTCAGGCTCTGGCGAGACAAGCTGCTCTGTAGGACCTTTTCCATGAACACATTTGTAATCAAAGTCCCCAAGAGCCCGTGAGACAGCCAGAGAGCCATTTACACGCTGAATCATTACAGAACCACCTGCATTCTGAATTCGTTCTTTTTCCAGCGGATTACTTGGTTTGTGATCTTGTGTGAAGAAATGAACTTTCCTGTTCCTACAGAGTAAACCTCTTGAGTCTCCACAATTAATGAAGTAAGTATGATGAGGAGAAATTAAGACACCCACTGCCGTTGACCCACTTCTATCTGCACCATGTTTCTTCTCTGACATAACTCTCATGTGTTCATCAATCTCCAGAAAACCTGTTCTGATTCCATTCTTTACATTTTCCACAGAAGGAGCTCCTGCAGATCCTTTAAAATCCTGGTTATTGGTGATGTGATCTAACAAATGCTCACAGCAGTATTTGGCAACCTGAGAACCAGCATGCCCATCATATACAGCAAAGAACGACCATGTTTCAAGTCCACTTGGCAAACCGATCACAGCTGTATGTGCATCCTCCATTTCAACTCGCCAGCCTTGCATGCTGCTTAGCCCATAACGCAACCCATTACCCTGCCCCTGGGCATTATGCTTTTCCATCTTTGGCTTGTCTAAAAATGCTCCCATTATGTCTTGTACCTCTCCACCTGCAAAGAAAGAGAAACAGGAAAGTTAATAACTCTCATATAAACAAAATATATCCAAAAATCTTTTAAAAATTAAGAATACAACAAAATCTTTACAAATTTACAACTCTTGTGATAAGCAGACATTTATTGCTGACTTGGAACCTGGATATTAAGAAGGAAGAACTGGGGTAGGGAGAAGAAGGCTGAAGAGCTTTACCTCAGAACAGACAATGAGCAAAGAAACCTAAAGCATAAGAATAAAGGTGGCTGAGTGACACTCTACACTACCCAACACACCATACAACTTGCAGTAGAAAGGAAACTTGAAAGTGTTTTACATGAGCTTTGCAAAGCATTTAAGGAGATATCAAACACATGGCTCTTTTAGGTAATCTCAAAGTAAGTTGTACATATATAGCATTTAAAAAGACTAAATACATTCATAAGACATGTGAAAAGTCTACCAACTCTATTATTATTATTATTACTACCACTACTATTGTCTTTCAACTATTCTCAGGCTCAGTATTCCAGGGAACATGTGTTGGGGACCAAATCCATGATTTCTGCATGCAAAGCATGCTTTCAGCCCTTTAAACTATTTTTTCGGTCCAACTCAAATATTTTAACAAACATTCAAATCCCAAATTTCTAAATTATAACTTCAAACCTCTGAAAAAATTCAAAATATATCCAAATACTTCTTCAAGTCTTTGTTTTTATTTTTAAGCCTATGACCCAGCTCTCTTAACAGGATTCAATACCGTGCCTCTACTCTTTCCAGAAGAAAAGTACTCCCATCTTTTAAAATCTAGTTCAAATTCGGGGCTGGAGCAATAGCACAGCAGGTAGGGCATTTGCCTTGCACGCGGCGTCCAACCCGGGTTTGATTCCCAGCATTCCATATGGTCCCCCAAGCACCGCCAGGAGTAATTCCTGAGTGCATGAGCCAGGAGTAACCCCTGTGCAATGCCGGGTGTGACCCAAAAAGAAAAAAAATCCAGTTCAAATTCTACCTTGTCACAAGGCTTTCAGTACTTGATAAATTCAGTAAATTACTAAATTGGTTACCACAATGATTTATAATTATCCAAACACTGTCTGCTCTCAGTATCATTCACGTCTTTTTTTTGTTTTATTGAATCACCGTGAGATATAGTCACAAAGCTTTCATGTTTGAGTTTCAGTCATATTATGATCAATCACCCATCTCTCCACCAGTGCACATTTTCTACCCCCAATGTCCCCATTGTCCCCCCTCTTTTCAACCCTCCCCCTGCTTCTATGGCAGGCAACTTCCCCCACACTTTCTACTTTGGGGCATTATTATTTGCAATACGGATACTGAGAGGTTATCACATTTGGTCCTTTACCTTCTTTCAGCATACTTCTCCCATCCCGAAAGATCCTTCCAACCATCACTGACTTAGTGATCCCTTCTCTATTTCAGCTGCCTTCTCCCCCAGCTCATGAGACAGGCTTCCAACTATGGGGCAATATTCCTGGCCCTTGTATCTACTGTCCTGGGGTGTCAGTCTCATATTATTTTACATTCCACAAATGAGTGCAGTTCTTCTATGTCTGTCCCTCTCTGACTCATTTCACTTAGCATGATACTCTCTATGACTATCCACTTATAAGCAAATTTCATGACTAGACCTTTCCTAACAGCCGCATAATACTCCATTTTGTAGATATACCAAAATTTTCTTTAACCAGTCATCTGTTCTTGGGCACTCGGGTTGTTTCTAGATTTTCTATATTCTGGCTGTCATAAGACATGTCATTCACATGTCTTATATGTGATCTAGACTGATTTTCAACTGTCCAGGAAACTATATGTGTTTAGCAAAGTTCACTATTAATATAATAAAATTAATCTACTGCTATTCTATTACTCTAATGGCAATAACATGTATCAATATTATACCCTATGATCACTTGGTTTAAATAATAAAGGGAACAAGGGTATAGGGACAGTCTTGTGGAAAACTAATCTTATCTTTCCTTATAAAAAGAAGGTAAAAATTTTGGCCTGGAAAAAGTCCAAACCAGTTAGGAGATTAAGAGTTATGTTGATTTCTACTCAAGTAGTAACCTAAGAATGCAGAGAGAACCCCACATTATCAAATTAACTAAAAGCAACCAGAAATTAGATTTTATGGACGTGAAGAAGATATAGATTAGGAATAAATATTTAGGTAAATCAAGATGCAGATCTGAGTCTAGGGGATAGACAACTCTAGAGATACTAAAAATTCTGAGAAGCAGCTCAGAGCAAGTAGAAGAAAAAATACTAACAAAGAACTTGCCAACAAACTCCCTACTCTCCTTCTTTTTCCTATTACAAACTAATATACAAGGAGAGACCTGGCTAATTAGCATAATTAAACAAAATCCTGCCTTCAACTCTGCCCCTATTAAATTACAAATAGAAGGTAATGAAAATTATTTATTTATGACAGTACACGCCAGATTAGTTTTAACACCACAATAATACACATTACCATTGAGCAGTTTTTATTGGACAAAGTATGACAGTGACACTAAAATCAAATGGTAATTGGATAATTACAAATCATTCTGATAAGTGTTTTACAAGCATCACCTCACTTATTCTCCTCAACAATCCTCTAAAGTATGTAACAGTCTTATCTCCAATTTATAGAACCTTAGAGAACCTAAAGAACTTGGCTAAAGTCACTCAACTGGTAAGTTTACAGGAATCAGAACTCTGTAACTCAAAGCTGCCTGACTTTAAAGCACCATTAACCACATCAAGGAAACAGTCCCATGATGTTTGTTACAAAAGAATTATCTTTAGAATATTTAAAAAAAAAGATTAATACATCAGATTTCCAGGACAAGGTTGAAACCAGGCATAAGTCTATCTTATGAAAAAGATGAGCTGGTATGCCTACATAGGAAGAACGTGATTGAGCCATAGTGAGGGTAAGTAACTTTGCTGAAGATTAAAAACAAGCTGCATTATCTCTGTATCTTAATTCCTTTAGCTACGCTAGAGGGGAAAAGAGTATTATACTTAACAGACACATATTCATCTAGCATTCCTGATCTGCATAATGGGCATATAATACTTAGCACTGAATGTTGCTGCAAGGCTTAAATGGAAAAAATGGATGCAAAGTAGTTACATAGAATGGTAAAAATTAAGCACCAAGCAAATGAAAACTAAGTTTCCAGATTTTGTCATATACAGATTCTGGTATTGGCCTAGAATTTTATTCTCCTAGAGAAAAATCCAGGACTCATTTTCCAGGTGTATATGTAGCACTGTCGCTATAGCACTGTCCTCCCATTGTTCATCCATTTGCTCGAGCGGGCACCAGTAACGTCTGCATTGTGAGACTTGTTGTTACTGTTTTTGGCATATCAATACACCACGGGAAGCTTGCCAGGCTCTGCTGTGCAGGTGGGATACTCTCGGTAGCTTGCTGGGCTCTCTGAGAGGGGCGGAGGAATTGAACCCGGGTTGGCCACATGCAAGAAAAATGCCCTACCAGCTGTGCTACTGGTCCAGCCCAAGGTGTATATGTAAAACTACCAAATATATAATTATTTAAAGACAAAAGGGGCATGGTTCTAAAAACAAATTCAAAATGTTTGGAAAATATATATTAGAAAAGTAAAAATGTAATAAACCAAGCCAACCTTATGGTAAAAATTTAAGCTCAACTTCTTAAGTGTAAAAATGCAGTCAAAGGTGAATTAATAAATTTGTACTTGGACTTTCACTTTCTGAAAATAGGAAATCTATTTTTGAAAATTCAGAAATCTTACCTCAGGAGTGGAGAAAGGTAAGACTCTTGCCCTGCTGGCAGCATATGGTCCCCTGAGCACTGCCAGGGGTCATTCCTAAACACTGAGACAGGAATAACTCCTGAGTACTGCCAGGTGTGGTTTAAAAAACAAAAAAATCTTACCTTTGTATACAGTCTTGGTAAAGTCAACTATGAGTACATAATCAAGTAGATACGTAAATATAGTATCAATCAGAAATTACTTATAAATAATGTAGCACTGTCCTACGGTTGTTCATCGATTTGCTCGAGCAGGCACCAGTAATGTCTCCACTGTGAGACTTGTTGTTACTGTTTTTGGCATATCGAATATACCATGGGGAACTTTCCAGGCTCTGACGTGCGGGTGGGATACTCTCATCTCCGAGAGGAACGGGAGAATCAACCCCAGTCAGCTGCGTGCAAGGCAAACACCTACCCACTGTGCTATTGCTCCAGCCCTTATAAATGCTATTATTTTTATATATACTAAGCTAACTAATTTCCCATTACATGGTATTTTAGTCAAATTATATTAAATGTTATATAAATTAAATAGTAAATGTAGGGGGATTTAACTTGTTCATGAATTTAAGTTAGTTTTCTAAAAATTCACCTCAGTTAAAATCTCCTAATCTAGGGGCTGGAGCAATAGCACAGCAGGTAGGGCATTTGCATTGCACGCAGCTGACCTAGGTTCGATTCCCCGGCATCCCATATGGTCCCTCGAGCACCGCCAGGAGCAACTCCTGAGTGCATGAACCAGGAGTAACTCCTGTGCATCACGGGGTGTGACCGAAAAAAAAATAAAAAAGATTTCTTAATCTAAACTGAGCCTGTTAAGCCCCCACTAGCATTATCAGCTGACCTTTTCAAAACAAAGTACCATGACGATCACAAGACTCAATTCACTTCTGATATAATCAGAAAATTTGGCAAACTTTTTTCTTTAAAAAAAAAAAACAATTTCTAAATCAATAACTTCTAAAGGCAAGGAAGTCAGTAAAGTTTCATTGCCTAAGCCAATGGATAATACAATCATATCAAAAAATCTTGAACTTGATCATTTGGTTTAATAAGCTCAGAATTATCCTATCTATCCACTCATCTCCACCCCCACCACAAAAACAACCAAAACAAAAAGCCACTCTTCTCTATATTCCTTTGAGATACATGAAAGCATGGAAAATGGCTTAATTGATAATCAGGCAGAGTCCT